GCATAAAGGTTAAAGGCTTACCAGTCTTTTTTTTGAATTTATTATTTCTCTTTAATTTTTGATTGAATTTTAATTATGCTTTTTCAGATGTGTGTAGTATGGTATTGAACTCCCCCCCCCTCTCCCTCTCTCTCTCTCTCTCTCTCTCTCTCTCTCTCTCTCTCTCTCTCTCTCTCTCTCCCTCTTTTTTTTTAGCTGTAGAGCAATGACGAAATTACATTTTGTTTGTTTCCATATGTGGCAGTAAAGCTTTTTCACCACAAACAATGCCTTCTGCCAGCTTGATAGAACTTCCTGAAAAGAGAATAAATATTCCATTGTTTCAATCCAGATAGTTTCTAAGTTCGCATATGAATAATTAATGTCCGCAGACGAAGGAGATATTGAACATTTCTTTTTTATTTTCAAAAAAGGAAAAAAAAAAGTTTTTTTTTTCATTTCATGCTCTGTGTTCATGAACGCTTCGTCTCATTAGAATTTATTTCAAATGTTCAGTTATGATTATAATTTTATTATAAAATTATTTATTATTTTTGAATTAAGAAAAAGAAATGTTTAAGAATTATGATTGAGAGAGAGAGGTGTGAGGCAGTGTGCATTTGATGAGATTATATGGATGCAGAGAAAGAGAGAGAGAGAGAGTTGAGCGCGAAACATATAAGAATTTGAATTTTCCATAATTGATTTTACATTTTATATTCAGAATTTTATAATCATTCACGTATTGAAATATATAATTCTAAGGAGAATAATGAAGAAAATCCAATAGTTGTGTTTTGAAAGTTTGATTCGAAAATCGGAAATGAGTTTAGAGTTCCTAATGTTAGCACCACCTGGTTACATAACAAGATATCAAACAGCAGTTTTCATTCTCTCACTTTATCACTCTTTTCTCATAATTTAATTTCTTTTTTTCCTCCTTTTTACTTTCTGTATAGAGTCTGTAATAAATAAGGCTTTAACTATATACATATAATCCTTTTTTTTCTGCCATATTTCCACATCTCTCCATCTACTATACTAACCATATATTGCTATGCATGCATATCGCTATGACACTTAATTGGTCGTTTTTCAAACAATTTTCATTTTTATATGGTTTCACCATGGTTAAGACATTATATTCCTCAATAACTTGTGGATGACACATCTATATATACATACACCTATAGCATTATCCATGGTTTCCAGACATTTGAGCTGTCATATGACTGCTCTTCATCATTACCAATCTATTTGTCAGAAGCCCCTTTGGCAGCATCTAAAATCAGAAAAAAATGAATGAGGAATGCATTTGAGTCTAAAAAGGACAAATCATACGTGGCCGATGACGCTATTCTTGAAAGACAATTTTCAAAATAGACGTTGTATTGCCGATCTATTCATTTGTGTTCTTATTTCCGCCACACAAGAGTAGATGAGAGAGTGAAAGTGAACAAGAAGAGTAAAAGAAGAAGAAGACGAAAAAAAAGGAATGTTTCCTCTCTTTAGTCTAATCTCGAATGGATTCCTCGTATCCTTATTCGAGAGCCCACCACCAATTCATTTTATAATGTAACTCTTTCTCTCTCTCTCTCTATCTCTCGCTCCCTCTCTTTCCGACTCTCTTTCTTCCTCATTCTGCCCTCCTCCCTTCAGTTCCTATGAATTATTTTAATGTATTCTTAATGTATTTCACTAAGAAGTAAATTAGGCTTAAATATAAAAATAGCTTAATTTCCATAATATGTAGATTCATAGTAGCAAGTATATCTTACTACTATGTTATGCATACCGTAGTCTTTTGGATTATACAAATCAAGGCAGTTTTTCGCTCATTCCGCTTGGATAGATGTTTAATTTCTTCAACCAACTCTAACAAGAGACTCTTCAGATTTCTTAGAAAATTCCAATATCCTCTATTTCAACTCAATGCCAATGTACTCAGCTTGTTATTCTAATGATGACTTCTCTGTTTCAGGGTACTTTCGAAGCTTTACTGATTACAAAACAATGAATGTAACTGAGTATATAAAAGACATAAACATTTCTAAAGATGAACCTAAAGAGCCAATTAGGCGCCCAGCCGAGCATGAAGCTGCCTGGATTCGTCTTAATGTTGGTGGAAAGGTAATCTATATACTATTCATATAATCTCATAACTGTCTGTTCTAGATCTTTACAACGACACGTCAAACTCTAACGAGAGATTGTCCGTCGTTTCTCCAAAAGCTATGTGAAGATGGATCAATGACTAGCCATAAGGTAAGAATATAATAACAAATTGATCTCAATGATCTTTAAGGATGATTCTGGAGCTTATCTCATTGATCGCGATCCAGAATATTTTGGACCTGTCCTCAATTATCTACGTCATGGTAAACTTGTTATTAATCCCGGTATTAGCGAAGAAGGTGACCTCATCATATAGTTAAACAATATATAAACAATTGGTCTTTAAAGGTGTCCTCGAAGAAGCTGAATTTTATAACCTTCCAACTCTTTCAACCATGATTAATGAACGCATTCAAGAGCGCAAAAAAATAATTTGCGATGCAGCATGTGAGAAGGTAGAGATTTTCATTTTAAAGTCGATACAAGGCTGAAGGTCTTCAATCAGAATTGAAATGTTTGTGATTGACATATGCCACTCTATAGAAGATTTAGATAGTTTACATAAAGGAAACAAACAATTTTGAGTAATTTTCTCGAAAATTTGCAGGCAGTTCGCTCAGTTTATCGTGTACTTCAATGTCATCAAGATGAATTGACTAATGTCGTTTCTGCAATGGGCGACGGCTGGAAAATTGTTCAGGTGAATTGGGATATATATAGATATATCTTCATATAGACATATATACACTAACTATATATATATTCATACATATACATGTATATACATATATATATATATATATATAGTCAATGAGTAATTGAATATAAGAATTCAAACATAATTTATATCATATAATATAAATCAACTTATACATGTTATCAAAGGTTCTGCCGAATGGGCACTTCAACTTCTCAGCTGATGGTCAACAAGAGTATCTGTGCATTGTTGTTCGCGATTTCCCTGAGACGAATCCTGTGGAAAACGTTAATACTGATCGAGCTCAACATATTCAGCAACGTTCAAGAAGTCAGTCAGCTTCTCACTTTACTTAATCTCTTTAACTTTTAATATACAAAAAGAAAATGAAAAGAAGCAATCTCATTGTGTCTTCTTCCAGACAACTGAAATACCGATGGCTCTGTCAAAATCTAAAATACAAAATGGTTCCTGGATGAAATTGTACCATTTCATTCATTTAAATAAGCATCATACAAGACTCTCTCTCTTTCCTTCCATCTCTCTTCGATTAACTATATAGAATAATTAACATATGCTATAAACATCTCCAGCCTATACCCCCCATCCTATACTTTTTTGTTTTCATATGCGTGTAATGTAATCAACATCTTCCGACCTATATATATATATATATAGCTTTAACTATATGTATATAGTTATGTGACATTTAATATAATTTATCGCCATACCGTATCTTATAATATTGACTGTAAACATGTGTTTCAATCATTATTTGTTTTGTTTTTGACTCATTTTTTTTGATTTTTCAATTTTTATTAGCCCACGATAAGATGAATATGTGTTTCTGGTTTCTGAGTAACTATACATTTAAATTGAAATTGTCGAATACAGATCTCTATAGTTATCATATTCATATTTGGTCAACTTGCCCTTATATTGTTCTATCAACTCCCTATCATCACTCTTCCCCCCCCCCCTAATTATTCGACCACCCAGCCATTATCTCTCCCATCACCCCCCGTCTCCCTCATCGCCTTCATGATATGTTCTATACATCATTGTAGCAAATAAATTTTTAATCATTATATATCAAGAGATGTTGAATCATCAACCTATTCTTCATGTTTTCTGCTTTATTTTCAGTTCAGTTCAGTTTGGGCCAGAAGATTAGTCCATCTAAAGATCTTAACGCGGGATTAAGATGAACGTTTGAAATAACTTGAGAGATTTGTTCAAAATCGAACAAAAAGTGAATGTTTGATGTATGAGTATGAAATGGAAGGTTCTTCTCTCAACTTGAATGGTTATTAATCGGTTTTCATGTTTCAGATAGATAGATAGAGTGAGATATAGTAGAAGTTTGGTTGAAACGGCAAACAAATATTGAAATATCTTTTGCAAACATGAGGAGGGTTACCTGCTTGATGAATAAGTATAGAAGAGGAACAACATAAGAGAGCTGAAACATTATAATTCACAGAAAAAGGACACGAAATATGATATGTTGACAAACGTTTTCAAAAACTCCGGAAATGCTTTTAAAATTCTACACATTTTACGGATAAAGTATAAGCTTTCGTTAGTCTAACAAGATATTTCTAGGATAGAAGTAGATGGAATGGAAATGGAGGGAACGGATTTATATACAGAATATGGATAATATAGAAGAGAGGAGTTAAGATGGTTGTCAGATATCTGGAAAGTTGTTTATACGGATCCAGATGTATACATCTCATTAAATGATAAGTAAGTATTCGAGAATCATCCGTAAATGATTTATGTTGTTATCAAGGACATCAGTAACTGTGTGAAGTAACAATCAGTCTTATCCTTGACCTTATTAGCATTAACTATATCCCCCCCCCCTCTCCGCATCACTCTATTCTATCCTAAACTGTCTACATAATTTGACATTAAGAAACAGACGAAAAGTTATGATCAAACACGTTATCATGTTGATCTTTTTACATCTAAACTCGCTAAATCATTAATCAAATATAAATTTTCTGCCCTTATTTCCATTATAAAAGATTTCCAAGAATTTTCGGTATTTTACGCGTGTCAATTGATATAGAATGATGTAAGACTATATGAATTAATGAGAATATCTACATGTAGAACCAACCGACAATTAGATCTCTTTTCGATGACCCACTTTCATTATTTTCTGTAGGCCATCTCTCGGACATTTCCTTTCTTTGACGATAGAGATAGCAGGAACGTCCGAAAGAAATGTGTGTTGCTCTAGATTTACTTTCTATCCCATCTTTCAGTCTTCTTTTCAGCATTGTGTTCGTTACACCTCTCTCTCTCTTTCTTCTTTTTTTTTTTGTTTCCATATAATCATAAGTACTTGTATGAGTTCTTTCAATTATAATTATATCTATGATGTTATTTCCGTTTCTAAAAAAGATGTTTCAGCAGTTCCTGAGTAAATGTGGCTACCAACTTCTGCTATCTATCTGGCTATCGCCTGTCTTGTTGCACAAGCAGAAGCTGCCGCAGGTAACAACTGCGTTTCTTTCTCTAATGAGGATATACCTCCGACATTGGAACTTCAGTTCAAAAGACCGTGTGAGATGCTCTGTGAGTAGTTGGTTCAGATACACTCTCAAACACTAATCTTGTTGATTCTGAGAAAACAGTTCTTCAAATCCTTTTCTAGATCTCCCATTCATTCAACTAGTCTCAGCATGAGAATGATGAGATTCATGCTGACAAATCCTTAGTTATCCCCAGTGAAATTGCCTTTTCCTTTGTATAAAAAATCAAATCAAATGAACAACTTTCATCTCACACAAAGCCATTTAAGAAACATGTGAACACGGAACAGGATTTCTCGTTATGGAGAATACGGTATTAGATTCTGTTAACTCTATCACATATGAAGACTTAACCGAAGATGAATGTGTCAAAGTGTGCTCTGATAACAGAGTGAGTTGCTCCAATGCTAAATAGTCGTAATGAGAGGATGAGTTCAGGATAAATTTGGTCGTGAAGTTGCGTGCTCATCAACACATTACAATCATGCCACCTTCGCATGTACTATTTATACCGAAAAATCATCCCCCGCTGGTACTGCTCAAAGAGCTGTCACAACTGGTAGCAAATACTTTGAGAAATTCTGTTTTGAAGGTAATATTTGTGAATTTAATGAAAAGTACGTTTGAATTATTCAGAAAAGACTTCACTTGCTTGTCAAAATGGAATGTTCATCCGTATTGACGACTATGTACTTGCTGGTTTTGCTATTGAGGTACTATTCACATTCAGAATTTCAATGTTTTGAATCGAAAATTGAAGGTTTCTCTCCATGATACAATTGAGGGATGTGTTACTCATTGTGTTTCTAACAGCACATGCAAGGTAATTAAATGAAAAAGAAATCTGAGATCAATATAATGAATGATTAAGTCTGCCATGTATTTCTATGAAGAGAAAGAATGTATCATCAATACTGAGACAGCCTTGTCTTATCCAGATAGCTTCCGCAAAGAAGAAAATGACAAAGTCATCTATTTCCAAAACTCATGCACAGATAATGTGAGACAAGGTATACAAATTAAAATAAAACCTGTCATAATATTTAAATCTGAAGAAGAATCTTTCAATGGACAAATTGATGCTGACACAGTTTTATCAAATGAAACACCAGGTTTAGAAAAAAAACTCGTTAAATTAAAATAATTGAATGGGAATTTTCAGAAGGATCCGGATTCGAGAGTGAAGAAGACGAATCATTTGAAGTAAGCAATGAAAAAGAAAGAGAAGGAGAAGGAGAAGATGAGATTGAAAACGAAGACGTCACCTTATCAGGTACAAAAACTGTTACATTTGTCCTTCCGTTTCAATCAAGCAATTCTAGACAGAGATCAACTTGAAAGTGAAATCGCTGAAGTTTTCGAGACCACACAAAAAACCATTGAAGAGAACCAAGAAACAACTGGAAATCTTGTTAACGAAGACGTTGACGAATCCGTCGAAACCAGTGACAGCTCTTTCGAACCTGAATCTGAACTTGTCGAACGTCCAAAGAAGAAGTATGCTGTTGAAAACGCTATTCGTATCAAGTACAGAAAGCACCCAAAGAGCTTTGCTGCCCAAACCGAGCAGTTCTCTAACGAAGTATGTCTCAGTCATGCGTATCGAACTGACAAGTTTATTATAGATCATCGAGAAGAAATTAAAGAAGAACAGCCTTAAGGGTAAGGAAAAGAAACCAATCGAAACTTTCGTAGAACCAATCAGCGCCGAATTAGAGAAAATCGAAGAGCCAGTAAGATATTTGGCGTTTGCATGAAAATATTGTCTTGTTAGGTATCATACTTCACCGAGTGGTCTGATTGGACTATGTGTACCAAGATGGGAGAACGCCAATTGCGTCGTAGACAATGTACTAACTTGAAGAAATGCGTCGGACCTCTCATGGAGTTCCGCAGTTGCGAACAAGTAACTGTTCCAGAAAAGAAAGGTTCTATCATTTCACAAAGGCTTATTCGTCAACATATCTATTCAGAAGTTAACAAGCCAATTCAATCAGTCAGAAGCCTGGTAGGAGTCGGATCAAACCAGTTCGTTGATTCTCATCCAATTGCTGAAGTCATTGAGAACCCCAACGGAACCAACAGTTTCTGGGGACCATGGTTAGGACAATGCCAGGTAAATCACAAGGTTAACTAATTAGTAACTCCATTTGAAATATTCAGGAATTCGCCTCTGCTCAACCTTGTAACAATGGTAAGATGATTGGATTTGAATCTCGCGAATGTATCGCCGAAGATCCCGCTCAATGTGTTGGACCTTTCTTCCGTTATTGTAATATTATGTGTTAATAATAACTGTTTTAGCCAACGAAACAGGCCAAAGATTTAATAAACACCATTAATATAACTTTAATTTGTAATTGTTTTAATAAAACGAAAATAAAAACCATTGTGTCATTCGATAAAATACATTGAGAACACGGAAAATTCTAGTTATTATGAAAGAATGTTGTAACATATCTTTATATTTTAATAGTTTTTACTAGTTCCATGTCTGCAACAGATCAATACAGCTGCTAAAACCATTCCGATCAACTGAAAACATTTATGATTGCAAAGAAGTTCACTGTGATGTCTCGTCTTACTTGGAGAATTCCAATCAAAACGCATCCTCCAATGACCCAATCGAGATAGCTATATGCCATATCATAAAGTGCGTCAGAGCATCCCTATATCTCTTATATGAAAATCGAACAACAAAATTCAATTAAACCTTGTCATTGAGGAAGTCAGCATATGAATCTAGAGGTGCCTGATAAAAGGAAACACCGCAATTTCCGGGATATTGCAGAAGGCCATTTTCATTACAGCACGAAAAAGGTACTCTTCCTGTAACGTATACTTTCAATGTAATCTGATATCATTTCCTAACCATTTTCTTTTCCAGGAACTCTTCCACCTAAAGCACCGATACCGTGTTCAGTACGGAATTCACTTGTGGAATCACCGGAACCTTTGCCAGCTTTTTCCCAACTGGCTTCCAACCAATCCTTATAAGTGCGTACTCCACAGCATTTCATCTGATATATCAATCTTTATTTGGGAGCCAGGAAGCTTTTTTCAGAAGTCTTTTTTTTTATTTAGCTTTCTAAGTACCTCGGTTTGAATTTTGTCAATGGCAGCCTTATAAGCAGAATCATGGGCATACTTCGTACGAATGGCGTCATACATGCTATCCTCAACATAAGATCTATAAATGCCAAAAAGTTTTTCTTTTGGCTTCCCAGTTTACCGGATACGTTCTTGTTTGGTGTTGGCAAGAACAGCAGCTGTCAGCTCAAGGGAAAAGACAAACAGCAACACAGCGAAGAACTAAAAGAATTCATATATCTTGTTCCTTATAGCAATGGTTTCTTTAAAGATATTTTCAAGATTCATTGTCAGACGTCACGCAAAGCTGTATTATATCTTTAATCATTCGAATAGTTAAGCTCTTAATGCTCAACGAAATTACTGCGCTTCAATTTCAAATAGATAGCAACTGCTCTTTTTTGAGTCTACTGAGAATGTCACACACTCACTCAGTGTTCTTCTCACCTCACCATAGTAATAGATCTTCAAAATGCTATCTCTGACTTCAACTTAGTAATAGAACAGCAGGATGTTATCTCTAATTCTCTGACATCTTGTATGCTATGAAGCAATATCACGCATCTCATTTTTTCATTCCATTCATTCATTTTCTTTCTTTCTCATGCACACTCTTCAATCTTTTTGAACATCTTAAATTAGAGCAATCTTTTATCAAGAAAAGATGATCGCTTGATATTTCTCTCATTTTTCTTACTTTCTTCTTCTTCTCTCTCTCTCTCTCTCTCATCATCTCTCTCATTCTCCTTCTCTCTTCCAAATTTTTTCTCTTTTTTCTTTGTGGCTTCCTTGCTTTTATTTTTCTCTTTTTTTTACAACACAAATCCGCCTACTCACAGAAGACATGAAGATGGCAAGACGACAATCATAATGGTTTGACCAAGAAATGTAATTTTGCAAAATCAATTTTTTGTGGGTCAAAAGCAAAAAATAAGCATGAGAGAATTTGTTTAGAAGGAATAAACACGATATAGAAGAACAACTTACTAAAAGCAAACAACATTTGTTATCCTTCCATGCTCCACAATAGCCACAAAAGCCTGTGAATGTTAGAATGGTTCCGGCTGCCAATACTAACCATCCGACTAATCGGAAAGAATCTAAGTGATATATCTTTACATAAGGAGGTGTACGTGAGAAATTGCGTACTTGCATGAGCAGAGTATAAAGAGAAGAAATCAGCAGCGGATGGATCGAGAACAATCAAAGCACCAAGTATCAATAAGAAAACTCCAGCAATCTATAATAAAAATATACATTTAATAACAAAACGAAATATATTATATGCATAGTTAACAAATGAATCAGAAAAGCTACTGAACTGGTTCAAATTAGCTATCCAATGTATATATGAGGGAGAATATGATATCAATGCTAACTATGACATAATACCTTTGTTAACTCACCCATAAAAAAACATTATATACAACTGCGATGTATTTTAGAGCTTGACAGCTGGCCATTATGTAATGTTGTGCTCTGTTGTCTATCTGGGGACAAGCGGAGAGCTCTAGCATTCATGTTGTGATAGGGGTGGAGCCAGAACAGACTCAGAGAACTCCTACACATTCACGCACATGAAGATGTTTTATGCATCTAACTATATCATTGAATGAATACATTCATACATATATAAACATATGTATCTGATACATAAAAGAATACAAGAGGTAAAATGAAATGTGAACTTCCTGAATATCTAATAATGGGTATATGCAAATCCTAGATTCACGAAACAATTTTGTAATTTGAAAGAGAGTCTAAATTGCAGAATGAAATCGAAGATGCACAAGGTTCTGTATTGCGAGGGTGGCAAAAAAAATGAATCTTATGATAGCCCAGTTTGCAAACGTTTCTCGGCAAGTCATGTGTTCTCATGCGCTCCAAATCTGCCCTGACGTGTAGGTTTTTATATTTTTTCCAAATAATTTTTCTGTTATACTCTAGAACGAAATATGGAAGGAAAATTGAAAGCGGAAAATGTTTTTGCGAGATCTGTTTCAACTTGTTTGACAAAATTTTGAAGGTAATAATAACCTTAATCACCTTCTTCAACAGCTCACGAATTCTATTTTTCAGTTAGTTGTCAAACCTATCGAGAAAATTAACCAAGCTTTTGAATCATTTCTTTGTTATCAAGAACCGAAAAAATGCAAGAATAACTTATTCCCAATTATCCAAATTAACGATCAGCTTCTGGACAGTCATATCGCAAAGGTTTATTTTTTTCATGAAGTTTGTTGAAAAAGCAGATTTCAGAGTGCGAGGAAGAGCGCATGCAAACAGTTGATGTCCTGCATTCCATATTTAAAACGAAAAAGCCGCACTTGCGTAGTTGCATTGATAAATCGTTCATAAGCAAATACATTCAACTCGATCATCTGTTAACACGTTATTATTATGATTGTTTGAAATAAAGTTGATATTCTCAAAGATTTACATTAACGAGAAGGTGCAGAGCATGTAAAAATTTAGCGAACCATCGTTGAATTTTGATATGATGCTGGCATCCCCTTGTAGTACTGTACACATGATATCATCATTTAGACCGGCTGAACAGTCCGAAGGCATTAAAAAAGATCCTTCTAGGTGGACAACAATGAAAGACGTCATTTCACATACTTATTCACAGGTTTGAGTTCACGGAAGAAGAAAGTTTATATTGGACTGTCTTACGACATGCACATGCGAGCATAATGGAGAAGGGCAAAAGAGGAATAGAAGATGTGAGTGACATGTTACTCAAAAGAACCCTCTTCTCATTTTCAT